AACCCTAAACCCTTTTAGGGCTGAGGGTTTAGGGTTTATGGCTGAGGGCTCAGGGCTTTGGGTTTAGGGTTCAGGCTCGGGTTGGGGTTTACGGCTTAGGGTTTAGAGTTGGCCCTAGCTGTATACTACCTAGAGGGGCCAGATATATATATATATATATATATCTTTATATATATACACATAGAATATTAAATATGATACAACCATTGTGGAAGCATGTCCCCAGAATTAGGGTTTTTAAGACTTACTTTTTTGGTCGTAGTATATATATATATATATGGACCCTCTTGGCTAGGGAGGCTTTTGGTGATATGTTGAAACTTCCCTTCTTGGATTTTGGGCTCAAGAGGATCTCATCACGAGTCTGTTTTAGTCAGGACATTTTCAGGTGGGCAGTTACCGTTGGAGGAGCCTAAAAGAAAGTCGATATACCTTATAGAAGCCTTATAGAAGCCTTATATGCCCTAAACTCCCCACCTAACCCTAAACCATAAACCCTAAAACCCTAAACTCTGAACCCTAAACTCCCCCGCTGCAGCTTCCTTTAATTCAGAGGCTTTCAAGGGCCCCGGCGGCTCAGCTAGTATCGTTCTCTGAAGGGCTCCTTGAAAGCTCTATAAGGATTGTACGATGTAGGGGCCTTAGTGATCAGAACCTGGTCATTTGAGTATGTAGGATATATATATATATATGTATATATATATATATGTGTGTGTGTGTTTGTGTCTCTGTGGGCTTGTGCTGGTCACTTCCCTGCTTATGTAATGTCTATCCTCGACTGCGCAATATTGTGTATACGTTGGCCTGAAACTAGGTTCTTTGGGCCCATGCAACTACGATATGGTTACATTGAACCTAAGGGGCGACCCTACTACAGAACCCAGTTGAACGCTATAGTACCGTTAAGGCTGAGAACCTTATAATGTACCCTTTCGGGGTAGCCTAAACCCTAAATCCTAGACCCCAAACCCAGTAGCTTTAGGGGTAGCCTAAATCCTTATAATCCCTAAACTCAGTAGCTTTAGGGGTAGCCTAGACCCTAAACCCTAAACCCAGTAGCTCTAAACCCTCAACCCTAAAACCCTAGAAACCCTAAACCCAGTAGCTCTAAACCCCAAACCCTAAACCCTAGACCCTAAACCCTAAAACCCTAGAAACCCTAAACCCTAGAAACCCAGTAGCTTTAGGTAGCCTCAACCCTAAACCCTAAACCCTAAACCCTAGAAGCCCAGTAGCTCTTTTGTAGCTCTTTTGTTCAGGCAGATCCCGCTGCAGTCTTCGTCATTGAGGACCACATTAACCTCACAGGACTGGGGTTCTTACGGTGTTTGGAGTGGCAGATCTCGGGTTGAGATTTAGGGTTTGGGGCTTAGGGTTTAGGGTTTGAGGTTTGGGGTATGGAGCTTTGGGCTTAGGGTTTAGGGCTTGGGGTGTCAAGATGTCAGATCTAGGGTTTAGAGTTCAGTGCTTTGGGTTTAGGGTTGAGGTTTAGGGTTTGGGGCTTAGGGTCTAGGGTCTAGGGTTTAGGGCTGAGGGTTCAGGGCTTAGGGTTGAGGGTTGAGGTTTAGGGCTTCGGGTTTAGGGTTCAGGGCTTGGGGTTTAGGGTTTAGGGTTGAGGTGTAGGGTTCAGGGTTTAGGCTTAGGGTTGAGTGGAACTGGCAGATTTCACTGTTGAGGGTGGAACCCTTAACCCAGGATCCAGAGTTTGCACGGGGATTACATTCATACTGAACGCGGACGGACGTAGCGTCCGAAGGACCTGTTCAGCTAGCATCCAGGACAGCTTTTACGTTGTGAAAACCTGTGGCTCTCGATTGACTCGATAGAGTACCCATAGGCTCCCTTTTGGGGTTACCTTATAGGATCCTAAATATAAACCACAAACAGGAACTACTATGGAGCCTATGGGTATACACGGAGCATATGGGTTTAGGGTTGAGGCGTGGAGGTTAATAGCTTTTCGGAATGTAGGATTCAACGTGATGGGCTAGCGTTTTCCGTGAGTCCGTGACGTAGGATGTTGGGGACCCGAAACCCGAAGCCCTAGAGAGTACCGACAGTCATTGCCAGTGACCAAACTGCATGCCATCAATATGTTATGTCGAGTCGTTTCTGCGGCATCGTCATCGCAACGAGGTGGACATGATCCGCGATGTCTGCTTTCACGAATGGGAGTCGTTGAAAGATAGCCTTGCTTGCGACGACCAGAGCAGCCTTCGACCGCCAACCCATTTCTTGGTGTGTGGCGTTTACAATCCGGAGTATTGTCAGAGGCATCCTTGCAACCCGTGGCTCGCCAGCACATGGCCGGCATGGCGCGGCATGCACTGAAACAACTTGCTGGGTCCTTTGTAGTATTAGGGAGACCCCTTAACGGGGACTTTTCTGAACCCCTACTTATGGCTCTCTTAAAAGGAACCTTGTTGAGAGGGTCTATGTCCCAAGGGTCCTTCTAATCCTAACTCCTTCTGGCGAAGTTGAGTTTGAGAATCTTACAGCCTGAACATTGAACCCCGGAAGATTTCGAGTATAGGGCAGTGCCATGCTCGAACATCCGCTACTTGAGACACCTGGCATGCTCAACGTTCAACTGCCCTCACTTCAACCTTTCGTCTTGACGCAGTCAAAATTCTACATTTAGGGTTTAGGGTTTAGGGTTTAGGGGTTTAGGGTTTAGGGTTTAGGGTACCCTTTGATTACGGACTCAGCATGCTAAACCTTCATTTCCGATAGTCGAAGGCTGCCGAACCTTACCTAAACCGCCGAAAGTAGATAAAATAATGGCCCCAAGAACTCTAAACTGTAAGTCTACATACGCTTGGGGTCCTAAACCCCAAACCCCTAAACCCCAAAACCCAAAACCCTAAACCCTAAAACAAAAACTAAACCCCTAAACCCTAAACGCCCCTTGGGCGGGCACAGGAGTCTTCAACCAGGGCTGCGCGGCATCTGGGCAGCAGATCAGAGAATTTTTCTCTTAATATCATGGGACTTAGTAACTAAACTTAGCTAGGGTTTAGGGTTTAGGGTTTAGGGTATGGCACTTAGTCTCTGAACTTAGCTAGGGTTTAGGGTTTAGGGTTTAGGGCTAGGGCTTTAGGCTTGAAACAAAAGGTTCATACGATTGCGTAAGAAGGGTTATAGTAACAAGCTAACTAGGCCTAGATTCGCTATATCGCTGTTGAGGTACTTACAACCTGACCTACTACGGTTGATGATACAAATCCTGCAGTACCCATAATAAGTCATATACCATAATCCCCATAATACAGGGTCCTTACGGTAATGCAGGGTTTTTATCATCAACCGTACTTCCCAGGCCTACTTTAAGCGTCATGGTATGCAGTGACGGATTCCTACAGAATTTCAGTTTCGTTCCGGCGGAAGTAACCCTAAACCCTAAACTCCATGGGAGTTGAGGCATCCAGCAGCTATGGGCTCTGAAAAAGCCCCCTAAAGCCACGCCTTAAACCCTAAACCCTAATCCCTCTGAACCCTACACCCTAAACCCTAAAACCCTGAACCCTACACCCTAAACTCCTAAACCCTAAAACCCTGAACCCTACACCCTAAACCCTAAAACCTTGAACCCTACACCCTAAACCTAAAACCCTAAACCCTAAACCCTAAACCTCAAGCCCTAAGCCCCAAACCCTAAATCGGCCGCCGAGGTACTCAGCCCGCTCATCCTGTAGGTGTGAACACCCTGGCGCCACTTCGAAAAGGACC